ATGACACAAATAGCACTAGTCCAATAGTGTTAGGAGGACCACAATACTCACAGGTCCCTAGGACACTGCAACGACACCCCTGTAAATCAAAGAGAATTTATCCGTACATATGACTATATACCTCAGCCAAAAGCTCAACAAAAAAATTATGTCTATATGTCTATACAACGTCTAGAAAATATTATATGATTTGTATTGATAGAAAATATTGGTTTTCCTTTTGTAGTCTTTGATTATGGTGATTGCCTTGTATAGAAAGTTAGATTGCTGTATATATGTTTTGCATTGTAACATTAATGAATTAATTCATTCCACCAAATTTCTTCTTCGTCTATTCATCTTTTCATGGTATCAGAGTAAGGTTGAGACCATGATTCGTTCTTGCACTCCAATCTCTCGTGCAGGACCTTCCCAGCCTTTCAATCATCATGGCCACCAGCAATGAAACTCCTACTTCCGGGAACACTGCTGCTTCTCCTGACTTGTCCAATTCAGGATCTGTACCAATTTTTTCAAATGCTGACATCTCAAATCCTTACTTCACTCACCACTTGGATCATCCAGGTTTGGTTTTAGTTTCCAAGCCATTGAATGGAGACAATTATTCAGATCGGAAAAAGGGCCATGACCCTAGCCTTGAACTCCAAGAACAAGCTTGGATTCGTCAATGGTTCTATCGAAGCCCCCCTCAGAAAAGACAGATCTTGAAGGCTATGTAACTAGGCCTGTAAATGAATCAGATATGAATCAGATTTGCCTATATCCAATCCGATAAGAAAATTATCCAATCCGATAATCCAACGGATATTTGATTGTTAAATCCATATCCGATCCGATAATTCGATCCGAAATTAATAAAAAATAGAGAAAGAAATCAATGTTGAAGAAATTTTGAACTAACTTAAGGCCCACCTATTTTTACTAGCAAACTCAATATTGGCTTCTACCATCATGATGTTCATTTTGAAAGGAGAGATCATCTTCTAGTTTTCTATTGACATTCGATGTGGGATAAGGTAAAATTGAATTTCAATTCTAAATATAAATATTTTATTTCATTATTTCTATAAACAAATCAAATTATTTGTTACATATTAATTATTAGTTTTTGAAATTGTAAAATTAATTACAATAATAAATTTAATTAAGAAAAATAT